AGACCTCGTCTCTACAATAAATCAAAAAATTAGCCAGGCATGGTGGCATGTGCCTGTAGTCCCAACTACTTGGAAGGCTGAGGTGGAAGGATCACCTGAGCCCAGCAGGTCGCGGCTGCAGTGGCTGTAAGCATGCCACTGCACTCCAGCCTGGGTGACAGAGTGAGACACCACCTCAGAAACAACAACAACAAACAACCAAACAGCAAAGCCACAAGTGAAACTCAGCCCTTCTCCTTTGACTGCATTTTACATTCCCACCAGCGATGTGAGAGGGCTCTGGTTTTCTCCTCATTCTTGCCAACACTTACTGTTACCTGTCTTGTTAGGTTTAGCCATCCTAGTAGGTGAGAGGTGGTATCTCCTGGTTCTCTTCTTTCCATCAAATGAATTAACAAGTGGTTAGTTCATGAACAACTGATGAATTTGCAGACTGCGAATTCATTGGAATTTCTGGAAGGAAGAGCAAGGCCCCAGAGAAGGCCGACTGCCAGGGACAGGGGCTCTGGCTTTGTGGCTCTCCTCAGGCCCATACCACAGGGGCCACGGGGGAACAGACTGTGGAGCAGGTAACTGTGTACGGGACGGAAGGCTGGTTCCAAGGCACCCCCACCTGTGATGAAGGACATGGTGAACTTAGTCACCTCCCGTCTGATTTGCTCTGGGTATTCATTCATTCACCCACTCATTCATTCATTCAACATATTGGGAGCCCAATGTGAACTAGGCATTGTTCTAAGTGCTGGGGACACAGTGGTGAACAAGGCAGACATGTTGCTTCATTTTGTTACAGAGAGAGAAGGAGGGAAAGACAATGTTGATTAAAAAGTTCTCTTCTGTCCAGGCGCAGTGGCTCCCAGCACTTCAGGAGGCTGAGGTGAGAGGATTGCCTGAGCCCATGGGTTCGAGACCAGTCTGGGCAACTTGGTGAGCCCTCATCTTTACAATAAATCAAAAAATTAGCTGGGTGTGGTGGCACATGCCTGTAGTTTCAGCTACTTGGGAGGCTGAGGTGGAAGGATCACCTGAGTCCAGTAGGTTGAAGCTGCGGTGGCCATGAACATGCTACTGCACTCCAGCCTGGGTGACAGAGTGAGACGCCAACTCAAAAAAAAAAAAAAAGTTTTCTTCTAATTCTTTTCTCAGTAAGCTGAAAATGTAAATGTAACAGGCTTCATTCACATGGTCAAGGGCAGCTCCTAATCACTCTCTCTGTTTGATGGTGGCTCTAAGGTTTGAATTCCTTTGGGTCAGGGACGGTGGCTCTGGCCAGCTGGTGGAGCCAGCTGGTCCCCAGAGCTCAGGTCCCAGACTGGAGGTATTCTGCTAGGAACCCTGGGTAGCCAGCTCCCTGACTGCTTTTATGGGATCCCGGCAAAATGATTGCAAAGATCTCAGGCTACAGTCTCTTGCATAGGGCACACAGCTCAACTCTGTTCTTAGGCTTCCTTCTTGAATTCAAGTCACAGGCACTTTCGTTGAGCCCCATAGGAAACATGGTTTATGCTTGTGGAAATAGCAAAGTTATTCTGGGTGGGTTCTCGCCGGCCCTCCTGGTCTAACTGCCTTAATTTACTAAATTACATATTGACAACTGACTGTATTCCAGGTGCAACACAACCCTCTGGTGAGCAAAACAGATGCCCTCTAAAAGATTACTATCAGCTGGGCTCGGTGGCTCAGCCTGTAATCCCGCGCTTTGGGAGGCTGAGGTGAGTGAATTGCCTGAGCCCGCGGGTTCGAGACCCGCCTGGGTGACTTGGCGAGACCTCATCTCTACAATAAATCAAAAAATTAGCAGGGCGTGGTAGCGCGCGCCTGTAGTTCCGGCTACTTGGAAGGCTGAGGCAGAAGGATTGCCTGAGCCTAGCAGGTCGAGGCTGCCGGGAGCGTGCCACGTGCCACTGCACTCCAATCTGGGCAACAGAGTGAGACTCCAACTCACAAAAAAAAAAAAAAAAAAGATTACTATCCAATGGAAAAGACAGACATTTTAAAAATGGCACAATAAACTGGGCACGGTGGCTCACCGTGCTGTAATTTCAGCACTTTGGGAGGCTGAGGCAAGAGGATTGGCTGAATACCAGTCTGGGCAACTTGGAAAGATCTCATCTCTACAATACATCAAAAAAAAGAAAATTAGCTGGGTGTGGTGGTGCGTGCCTATAGTTCCAGTTACTTGGAAAGCTGAAGCGAAAGGATCGCCTGAGCCCAGCAGGTTGAGGCTGCAGTGGCTATGAGCATGTCACAGCACTCCAGCCTGGGTGAAACAGTGAGACTAAGACTCAAAAAAAAAAAAGAACATAATAATGTAATAATGAAACAATAACTGCAATAAGTACTATAAAGAAAAAGCACCAGAGTGGTTAAAACCAAGAATCTGAGAGTCAGCTACAGTGGCTCAGGCCTGTAATTCCAGTGACTTGGGAGACCGAGGCAGGAGGATGGCTTGAGCCTGGGAGTTTGAGGCTGCAGTGAGCTATGAACATGCCACTGCACTCCAGCCTGGGTGTGTCAGAGCAAGACCCTGTCTTAACAAAGAAAGGTCTGGCAAATGACATTTAAGCGGAGACCTAGAGAAGGGGGAAAGGGGAAGAAAGAAGGTGACTCAGACAATGGGAACAGCATGTGCGAGGGTCTGGGTCAGGAAGGAGCTCAGGACCTTTGTTCACGGGGGGCACACCGGCACCA